ATTGCTCTTTTGCCTTCCTGCCTGAGGCAGGGCCTAAGCTATAGAGGTCTGTTAGCCTGCTGTGGAATGGCATTTGCACACCGTGGTTTTGTTCCCTGCCTGGTTCTGTGTGTGGAATGGCATCAGTTTACTTAGGGTCTGTTTTAGAGCAGTTTTTTAGAATGAGCTAAACATTGAACTACATGTACCTGAAAGAAGCCAGAATTATGAGGCTGGTAAATTAACTTATCACAGGGTAAAATAAGTCATTTTCTGTAGCTATAGAGAGGATAAACTTAGGACCTGGTTGGTGATTTTTGGCCTGAAATGTTTTTACACTCTTTTTCCAAAAAATATTTTCATACTAGGTGTGCTGGAAGAAGCTGAATTTTACAATATCACATCACTAATAAAACTGGTAAAGGACAAAATAAGAGAAAGAGACAGCAAAATCTCACAGGTGAGGCTGTTTTCTCATGTGCTTTTGCTTATCTGTTCAATGGCAAGTGGTGGGTGGGCTCCCTGTGTTCTTCATGTAGCTGCTTCCCCAGTGAGCTGCTGAACTGGGCTGGAGCCATCAGCATGTGGACATTAATATTCTGAACTGCCAGCTCCTGCCAGTCTGCTTGCAAAGTTCACACATCTTGTTCTACACCTGAAAACTTTCTGAATAATTGTTCCAAAACGTCTGGTAAAAGCAGAATTTATCCTAATATAATTTCTGGAAATTGTTCTTTTCTCTAAAAGCAGCATTTGTATCTCTCTGACTTACATTTAAATACTCTGAACATGGTGAGGGTGCCTGGCTGTGGTCACTGCTGTTTAGGCAGGATGTTTATGCAGCAGACACAGATGCTCTTTAGCTCCTGTCAAGTGTCTTTGTAGCAAAGTTAGTTTCTGTGGCTGAGGACACTGTCTCTTCCCAGAGCAGCTCATGAAAGTGAGCATGAGAAAGTTCGCTCTTTAACTCTGCTACTTTGGCCTTCCCTGGTAAGTGAGTCATGGTGGAGATATTGCAAACTCATGTTGCCAAGTTTGTCCTGGCACCAAGCTGTGGGATGGCAGGGTTGCTCTCAGGGTCTCAGCTGAAATGCTTGTAGCTATTCATTGATCTGGGAGGGTTTAAAGTGGTGGTGCTTCCCATTTCTGGGGAGTAAGGGCAACTTCAGACAAGTCACAAATGTAGTGAATTCCATGCCCTATTGAGCATCTTGTGTTTCTTCTTGAAGGTGCCAGTCAAACACGTATACAGAGTGCTGCAGTGTCAGGAGGAGGAACTCACTCAAATGGTTTCGACAATGTCCGATGGCTGGAAATTTGAACAGGTAAAAAACTTATATGGGATATAGTTACGAAGTCATGTAAAAAACCAGTTTTGTGAAAGAGGAGTATTAAATTGTGTGCTTCTTTTTAAATTCAGTCATTTTTAGAGTGTGGATAAACGTGCAGAGTTAAGTTAAAACGTGATATTTGTGTATTTGCCCTAGAACAAAAAGCTGTAGCTTTCCAGGAGGTAAAGTGTGCTGACTTTCTATAAAAACACCTGCATCATGTCTGAAATGTAATTCTTCAGTGTCTGCATATGAGCATTTGAAGGGCAAATGAACCAAAGTTAATTAACACAAGTTTATATGAATTGTGGGTTAGATACAAAGATGTAAAGGTAAAAGAGATGAACTTGGGAGATAAGTGTTTGTCAGGCCCAAAGAGTGGTTCTTCAGGTAAAAACTGACGAGCAGGAGGGTGGGCTTAGCCAATGTGGATGTGAAGCTGGATAGGTGTGAGCTCTGTGAATGTTTTTGTTCTTTGCACTGTATAAAAACAGCTTTGTGTGTACACTCAAGAATACATTGTAAAATCACAAGATCTTTCTGTTCTCTTTGCTGATCTCTGTAAATAAGAAACTAACTGCACAGCTTCTTCATCCTTCACATTCCTAACCTACCAGAATATCTAAACTGCATTGGAGCAATGAATCTGTTAACTCTGGAATGAGACATGAGTGCTCAGCTGCCAGAACCTTTCTCAGGGTCTGATGCCTACTGTAGGAGAGATTGGAATAAGCACAAGCCTCTTACCCTGTGCAGTGCCACTCTAATAGCACAGCCAAGCGGCATTTTTAAAATGTACAGCACATGAAGGTAAAAGAGAACACTTCATTTATGCTTGATGAGATGTGTAAGGTGCTGGTGTCGTGGGCACAGCCGTGATCACATAGACTAAACCAGCACAGAGGAACTTTTTATGCCTCAGATCTCCAGCTGAGGTATTGCCAGGGCTGTTTGGCATGCCAGAAGCTGAGTGGTTAAGTCCCTGAGAAAGTTCTTGCTCAATGCTCATGACTGTTTTTTTGACCAGTGCATTGACAAAGGCTTTTCAATATCCTTTGTCATGAGAAACTGTCTTTCATTGCAGATAGAGATTCTGTACCTTTCAGCAGATTGAGTGATCCCATGTACTTTACTTATCCTAAAGCCTCACAGTCTTTGGGGATGTTTTATTTGGGAGTGTTACCACTTTGACTGTGCAACAGCAGAAAGAACTGTTATAATCTCTTTAGGATCTGGAAAATTCCAGTGCTTTTCTTGAACATCACATCCTTGTTTCATCCAGCTTTCTCCTCGTGTCCTCCCTCTCCCATGCTGCACTCTTCAGACACATGGTTTGAAGTCGCTAAACACAACAGCTGTGTGATCTCATAATACTCAGCATCTCATTCCCTCAGACTAGGCCCTTCCTTCCTTTGGTGGTTTGTAGACCTGTTTTTAGCAGACATCGATCACCTGAAACGGGAGTAGAATATTCTGTGTAATCTAAACAGTTTTATTGTTAAGGTCTGAGGACACTAGCATTTCTGTAAGTTTTGGCCTGTTCTCAGCAGCATGCTGAGCACTCCTCCAGGAGCAGTTTTGGGGTGGTACCCACCATGTACATGCAACAGGCTGAAATCATCAGCTTTTTCAGAGGAGGGATGTCCCTGTGGACTGCGAGTCCTTGTGCTCTGTGCCCTGTCTAACGTGTTTAAGTGGTTGGTTTTGATAAAAAATGTTTCTTTCCCCGTAACATTTCAAAATTTTATTGTAAAATGGGATTGGATGTGGTGGATAAATAGGAGTGGAAGGTGCTGAACCTTTGCTAGCCATACACAGATGTATTGTTGCTCTTTTCCAGAGAATACAAGTGAAAGCTCTGCTAGAACAGTGCAGTTATCTATTAGTCCCACTCCAAAGTCTATGACCAAAAATGATGCTGCCTTAACTTTTGTGATTTCAGTGGATTATTTTGTAGAGGATTTTTAACTTCAATTGTTACCTCTTCAAGCAATCAGAAAAAACCAGTTCTTTGGCAATATGGCATAATTAGAAACTATGGGCTGTGCAAAATTGCTGCATACAAAGCTTTAGACAGCAGTGGTGTCGGTCATGTAAATTTTAATGATCAATGTAGCCTGACTCTGTCACCATAATGCAGTCTTAGGTTCTCTGTGTGAGGAGGATGGTATTTGGCTGCTGCCTTGGAAGTGATTCACACAACAACAGCAGGATAGATACAAATTGCTGTTCATGGTCTGTCTCATCTGTTGTAATCTCCAGTTCACTCAGAATGGGCAGTTGTTGTCTAGTTCTTCCCATCTGAAGCTCTAATCTGTGCACTGGCAGGCTGTGCTTTAGTGCAAATGGTCTAGGAATTGCCAGGTATCAGTAAGATAAAATATTTAGTAATAACAAGTGGAGAAATTTAGCTGAGGTTACTCTGAGCTTTGAATTACAGGCGTTGGCTAGTGTGACCAATGTTCTTGGTAGTGATTTTTATGGGAATGAGACAGACAATTTTTCCCACTCATTTTCTTGGATCATCTGTCAATTACTTCTAAAACCAATTGAGAGTGCTCAACTTTCTTTTCTCTAGTTGACTTTATATGTTTCCTTAGCTGCATTTTGTTTATCAATATTTGGAACAAGATGAAGTTCTTTGAGACCAAGGCTTGATATATTGCTTCACATAACACCTTCCAGTCTTATTTCCTCATTACCTTCTGCACTTGGCAAGTGTGACAGGAAAATAATGCTCACTCTTATGGTGCATCAGGCTTTGTTCATGCTTTTCAGAGTAGGTGGCTGCACCACAGTGCAGGTATGGGGAGTTTCCTGTCTTACTATGGGTAACTCTTAACTTCCCTTGAAATTCCAAAGGGCTTTGCAGCTGCCTTAGTGAATTTTATATTGACATGCAAATTGTGTAGCCTGATGGCAACCTGTTCTAGTGGCAAGTAAGTGTTACCTGAACGTTTGAGCTCACCTGTTACTTGTACGACTTGGATAACCCTGCGTGCTTCAGCTTCACAAAGGTTTCTTTCTGTGTTCTGCTTTGATTGGTCATTTCAGCTTGTCAGTATAGGCTCCCAGTACAGCTGTGGCCGGGCTCAGCAGTCAGAGTATCTGCTGATAGTGTCACGGGAAGTGAGAGGGGAAGAGAGATGCTGCCACAAATGCTGCAGTGAGGTGTGTCACACCATTCCTTTTGCCCTCACACTGATATGCTTGGCCTCCTCACGTTTCTGCTGCTTTCAAATCATTCCACTTTATTCCTGGATGTACAGCACGTAGTGCTTTGTGTGTATTTGTGACTGGCTTTTATTTATATTCACACTACTTCATTACACATTATGAACATTCATACTGTAAAAATGATAAACAAAAATCCCCTAGTTATTTAGTGAAGGCTTTTCTTAAGAAGAGTTCTTGCCTTCTCAACAGATAAACTTCTTTTCCTTAAATCTTCCTCCAAAGTTAACAGCCTTTGATCCATACTTGTTAAGTAAGAGTGCTACAATTCCAGCCTTGGGAGCCCTGTACGTCCAGCTCTGAGTTCAGTGGGTTCAAAAAGGGACATTTTTGTGTTGCACTCAAACTGGGACAATGTTTGTTTCATCCACCAAATAGCCAGTTAAGTTCTGAGGTCGAGCCCTTTATTTCTGGTGACTCAGAGCTTAACTCTTTTTTAGGTGGATGAAATATGTTCAAACTGAAACCACACAACCCAGGATTTTTTTAGAAACACAGTGGAGGAGTGAGGGGAGAACAAAACCAGCAGTTTTAAACCTTGTGCCAAGTGGAAAGAACATCCTAGGTGTTTCTTTGGCTTTGTTGTTTTGGGGTTTTTTCTGTCTTGGGATATTTTTTTGAAACCCAAATGGAGAGTCCAAGCTTCACTCATTGGCTTGTCAGGCTGTCTCATCCTTCCTGCTCCCGTTGGTCTCAGGTCACTGCTTTTTAATTGCTGTGTTACTTCCAAATATTCAGGAGTTTGGGAAGGATATTTAAAATAGAATTTGAGAGTAATTGTTACAGAATTTACTCAGTTTTGAGAATCACAAAATAGAGAAGGGAAATGGTAGTGGTGAAGTAGAAGAGCTAGTTAATCCGAGCAGCTCCAGTGGGAAGCAGAGGAAGACAGGACTGCTGTTTGTGCAGGTTGGAGGGGTTAGCTGTGATGGTAATACTTCTGCTGATTTGTGTGGTAAATATGCTGTATGGATTTTGAACCAGTATTGTTCCACCAATATAGCAGAGCTTTATAGGCACAGTCCTGAAATGTGTCTGGTTTTGAGATGTCCCAGTTTAGTTAGGCATGAGATTTGTTCACTTCAAAAATAAGGTTCCTAAAAGTGATGCCCCAACCATTTTGCCTATTCATAGGGATGTTTTGAGGTGTACAGCCATTTATTTAAGACAGAAAGAGACTCACTATACATGTATTTTGCTGATGTTGAGTAACTTGATGCAGGAATCATTTGACCAATTCTTTCAGTTTATGCCACTTTTGCCATCTGCTTTTCTGAAATAGTCTTTCTTGAAAGACAGGTTTAATTTCTCTCACAGAGCTGCAAACTTAGGAAAAGTTCTTCAGAAGGTTATTTAATTATTTTCCCTGAAATTATTCTTGACTCTTTCCTCTTTGAAAACAAGCCTGACCCTACCTAGACATCAGGTTGTCTCTGTCCACCTTTATTTATGCCAAACTGTTTGGGTTTTTTTTTTCCCCCCTTCTGGTTGTCATATGTGATCTTATTTAAAGGTACAGGAACTTCCTTGTGATTTCTTTGTCTTTTCAGGAAAATTGTGACCTCTGTTGGAACAAGCAATAACTATATTTCTGTTGATGTAATAATGATGATGATGATGACATAATAATGATGATGATAATAATAATAATGCTTTCCATTCCTGCCTTTTTTCACTGTAGCTGGCAGCCTGACAGTGTCATCACCCTTATTCCCTGCACATGGTGAATGGGTCATTATCTAATGAATTCTCTGTGATAAGGAACACTGGCATTTTCCTGTGCTCAGTTCTGACACTGTTGAGCTCTGTCATGGTTCTATCTAGCACACCCTAATCAAATCTGTCATTATCTCAAACCCTTTGTGCCCCACGTTGGGCACCAAAAAGGAGTGTGGTGGTTTAACCCCAGCAGCAACCCAGAACCACACAGCCACTCACACCCTCCCCCAGCAATGGGATGGGGAGAGAATCGGAAGGTAAAAGCTACAAAAGCTCATGGGTTGAGATAATGAGTTTAATAGAGAAAGCAAAAGCTGCACACACAAGCAAAGCAAAACAAGGAATTAATTCACTGCTTCCCACAGGCAGGAGGTGTTCAGCACCTCCAGGAGAGCAGGGCCCCATAACACATAATGGTTCCTTGAGAAGACAAATGCCATCACTCCAAACATCCTCCCCATTCCTCCTTCTTCCTCCCACCTTATATACTGAGCATGATGTCCTATGGTATGGAATATCTCTTTGGTCAGTTTGGGTCACCTGTCCCAGCTGTGTCTCCTCCCAATCTCCCATGTATCCCCAACTTCCTTGCCAGTGTGGCAGTACAGAAAGCAGCAAAGGCTTTGGCTCTGTGTGAGCTCTGCTGAGCAACAACAAACACATCTCTGCATTATCACCCTGTGCCCTGCACAAATCCTAAACATAGCCCCATCTTAGCCACTGGAAGAAAGCTAACTCCACTTCAGCCCAAACCAGCACAGGCTCACAGGGATGCTTAAACTGAATCACACTGTTCTAATGAAGGGTGTAATGAAACAAATCATGTAAGGAATGAATCAGTGAGGAAAAATACATACATGCATGTACACACATATATATAATCATACAAATCTATGAAATTCAGTTTCGAAACATTCTTTTCTTTTTCCTGAAGTTCTTGGTCATTTTAGCCCCATGAGCTGAAAAGAGTTTCTCCTTTCAGAAAGTCTGAGAAACAGTAGGCTGGATGATCTGAAATGCTCTTCCTATGCCTTGTGACACCTGTTTTGCAGACCTCTGATTACTCTGATATGTTGTGGGCTCTTTTTTGTGGGGGTTGGAGAGCAGGCAGGGGGTGTGTTTGCATGGGCAGACATGGGAGAGGGAAGGATCCTTCCTAAAGTGTTGTCTCCAACACTTGGAGCAATGGGGTGACTTTTGGAATAGGAGTGCTAAAACATTGCTTTATTTCTGATCTTCCTTCCTGACACAACATTTCAGTTCTAATCTGTAATCATGTTCCATTGGTTCATTTTCTGCTGTCAGCCTTGTGGATGCATTTCAGAAAGCTGCAGTGAAATTTCTAGTATGCTGTGATACTATGCAAATGATTCATTCTTAGCTGCACACATATGGAACTGCTTAGGAGAAGATCATGAGTTGGAGTTTTGAAGACCTTGGGTTTAATGTTGCACAAGTGACTTTATCTTGAAATGCACCACCTGATTAATACTGGCAGAAAGTCATCAGATGTTTTTGCAGTCAGCTAAGTTGATAGTCCTGTCCAACTAGCTAATGAGTTTTCAGTCTGCCACATCTCCTGAGAAGTCTGAAGTGCAAAAGGTTAACTTAATTTGGGTGGATTCTGAAGCATTAGTAAGCAGCTGTCAGGGAAGGACCTGCCAGCCTTGTTGAACCAGGACTGTTGGTTTGGCTGATCCTGTGTGGTACCTGCCTTCAGAGTGTCATTTTCCTCTTTGCAGTGTCACTAAGTAAAGAAGTAATTCTCCTTCTGGTAGTTGTTATCATCACTTACCTGATAGTGAGTTCTTGCCATTTTGCAAGGAGAAAAGTCAATTGTATATTAATCAGATTGTGTATTTCTTCAAATTTCTCTTCAGAGAAGGTGAATTTTGTGTGACTTTGTTCAAACATCTATCCGACCTTTTGAACATTTTATAGCCTTTAAGTGGGTTAAAAATACTGTTTAATGTCCTTCCCTTTTCCTGAAGAATTGAAACAGTTACTGTGTTTGCATTAAACAGGTTGTAATTGTCATATAATATATAGGATAATTTTATACCACTTTGGTGGGTTTAGAGCCAACTTAACTGCTATTTTTGCTGAAAGTCTGTGCATGATATTTTTTGTTCAGAAGGAAGACAATCAACAAATCATCTCAATATATGAAATAAATTTGGGTTCACTCTCCAGTTTTTCAGTAGACTTTCTTAGTCCATTTTATGCAACTAGGAAACTAGTTAACTATGGGTTTTGTGATTCTGTATTACACAAATGTGTTGTGGTGCAGACTGCAGAGTATCTGCTGTGAAAGATCAGCTGAATCAATGCCTCATGGTGAATGGTGCCTTTATACTGACGATGCACTGGTGCTTCCAGAACACCTGGGGGTTTGTAACTGCATTACACAGTTTCAGTGGAAAAAATGCCTTTAACACATCAATCTTCTCTGTTTGCAGCCAGTACTGACTATGTATGTATTTTGCAGAACTAGAGTGGTGTTAGGAGGGAAAGGTTTCTGGTGGTCACACCCAGACTGTGTAGTTAAAGTGGGTAATGTGAGGGTGATGCATTTTGATGGCCAGTACTGCTCATGGAAAGCTGAGCCTTGCATGCTGTAAAACCTCCAAATCCAAAAACGTTGGCATTGGCTCGGCCTGGCGCCAGGGTGGATGGTTGTGCAGACACTGCCTGCTGCTCCTTGCAAGCATTGGCTCTGCCTGTCTGTGGAGAGCCTTGCCCATCTCACTGCAGTGTGGGAACACCCTGACATCTCTCTGAGGAACTACCATGAGCTTTATTTTCTCCTGACAATGCTGTATGGAAGCTGCTTTAAACCTTGATCTAACTTCATTTTTGTTGGGAGAATAATCTTATCCCCCAAGTACAGACTCTGGATCAAGATTTCATCTGGACTTGAATCTTCCATGCTCTACCAACACTTCTACTCTCTTTGGTAGTCTGCTAGACTAATGGCAGTACATTATTTGTCTTTACAGAGGTAACTATATTGTTTCAAGTGCTGTTGCCCTAACAAAAACAAGTCAGGCCTTTTCTCTGGGACATTAATGATATACCAGAGCCTGGGGAGCAGGACAGCCTCATTGTATGTGTGTGGGGATTTGGTAGGTAGATGTAATATGGTTGGTAATGACCTTTAGATGCAGTGTGTCTGTGCAGCAGGTTGATTTCTAGGACATTGATCCATGTCAGTAGTGATAGCACCATACATCTCTTGTCATGCTTTTGAAATACAACGTAAAAAATGTGCATTGATTCTGGCTGGGAGAGGCAGGCTGGGTAAAGCTTCTAGCACTAGGGAAGTGTGTTACAGGTAAGGTAAGACAACTCCTGCCATCTGAGAAATGTGGCATGAGAGGTAGTCCTGGTGTTGAGTATATCCTTCCTTCCCAGGAAATTGTCATTTACCAGTCAATCCAGAGACTTGCAGGAGGCTGTAAATTGGTCACATCCATCACCCATGGCTTGGCTTGTGGTGCTTCCTTGGTTAGCCTCTTGTGGCAGTACCTGTGAATTCCAGACCTTAACCTTGGTGTCCCACCATGCTGTGCCTTGCTGTTTTCCAGTCTAATGCCAATTTTGTCGTTGTCCATTTAAATGGGCTGTCATAGAAACACCTCTGCTCTGTGAGCAGTGGTGGGTATCCCTTCAGGCTAAAGAGCTTCCTGCATGCAGCCATGTACATGTTACATGTGCCACATTGACATACCACGTACAGGCTTGTTAAAATTAACTTTGGAGGATGCCAACATTCCCAGTAATGTCAGAAACAGGGGACAGGCTGCTTCTCCACTGGCCTTCCTCTGTAGCCTTTCCTTTCACAGTATAACTGTGAATGTAAATCATGAATGCTGTAACTGTTTGAAAAGAGAAGCTGTTTATCTTGTCATCAGAGTTGCAGTGTATCCGTCACCATCAAACCGTGTCTGCATCAGGGTGGAGAGTCATGCTTCAGGCACAGCCAGCAGGCTGCAGAGTGAGCAGTGTCTGTGCTGCTGCTGAGGCTTCATGGGATTGTTTTGATGTGGAAATGCAGTTGACTTTTTTTTTCATCTTTCAGCTGGTCAGTATTGGTTCTTCCTATAACTATGGCAATGAAGATCAGGCTGAATTTCTGTGTGTTGTCTCAAAGGAATTGCATAACACTCCGTACGGCACAACGAGTGAACCCAGTGAAAAAGCAAAGGTAAGTTACTAGACATTGGACTAAAGAAATGCTGGTGAATTGGGTGGGCTTCACACAGTCATGCTAGATCTGCCTCTGTTGTGGACTGCATTTTCCCCCCTTGTTCATGACTAATAATAACTGGGCTATTTAAGTGCAATACTCTCTACTGTTTCAATACCTGTCTGATTCAAGGACTGGCAGATACTTGCTGTTTACAGCTGAGAATCTAGGTTTTGTTTCTTATGTATTTGAATGCTTCAGTTGAAGACTGTTTTTCTTGCTTGACTTCTGCTGAAGAAATATGACTGTCAAGAATGGATCTCGTAAGATGCTGTCTCTGTAAAACAGCCATGTGCAATATGTGAAGGTACTTGTTAGCTTCATGTTTTCAGGGTTCTACCTAGTTTTTCTGTATCCAGCTTTACAAAAAGATTGCAATGGGCACAGTTTCTTAGTGTTTTACTCAGTTATCTCCCAGAGTTTGTACAAGGGAAACTAAAACCACGTTGCTAACTGAGTAGTAATAAGGCAGAGCAGTTCTGTAATGTATCTCCTGTCATGCATGGTGAGCAGCTTATGCCATTGTATTGCTGCTTTGTGTGAGGAGATGAATACAGACTGGGTACTCCTATAGTGGTCTTGAAAGCTTTTGATTTCTTATATGTAGCTGGAAAACAACTGCTGAAGCATCAAAGGTTCCTTTTTCAAGAACCAGCTTTGAAGAAATTAATTTTGAAATGGTGGATCTGAGTCTTGGCAGTGAGGCCTCAGGGAGATCAGACTTCATTCCTTGCTGTCCTTTGTAACATACTTATGCAGCTACACATATGGAGTGATTTTTGTAATTTGGGCTATAAAAATACTCCCAAGCTTTATGTTGGATTACAAGTGAAATGAATAATTTATGTTCTTTTGTCACTGTCGAGATAAAGCTGCCAAAGTGTTGTAGAGGATTGCTGTAGTCAAGGGTGAGCAGGGAGCCTGGATAAGCTACGGCTCAGTCTTTCCAAACCCTAGAGTTGTGGTCAGTGGTCAGTGTCCACGTGGAGCCAGTGAGGAGTGCTGTCCCTCAGGGGTCAGTGCTGTCCCTCAGGGGTAAGTGCTGGGGCCGATACTGTTCAGCATCTCTATGGGCACATGGACAGTGGATTGAGTGCACCCTCAGCAAGTTCTCTGACCACACCAAGTATGTGGGGCCGTCGACATGCTGGAGGGAAGGGATGGGACATCCAGAGGGACCTTAAGAGGTGGAACAGTGCAAACCTCATGGAGTTCAACAAAATGAAGTGCAGGGTCCTACATCTGGGCCATGGCACTCCCAGGCACAGCTACAGGTTGGATGGGGAAGGAATTGAGACCAGAAGCGAGGAGAGACACTTGGGGGTGATGGTGGATGAGAAGCTCTCCATGAGCTGCAGTGTGAGCTCAGCCCAGAAACCAACCCAGTCCTGGGCTGCATCCACAGGAGTGTGGGCAGCAGGTCGAAAGAGGTGATTCTTCCCCTCTGCTCTGCTCTGCTCGACCCACCTGGAATACTGCACACAGTTCTGGTGCCCTCAACGTAAGAAGGACATGGAACTGTTGGAGCAAGTCCAGAGGAGGCCACAAAGTTCTTAAGAGGACTGGAGCATCTCCCTGTGAGGACATGCTGAGGGAGTTGGGGCTGTTCAGCCTGGAGAAGAGAAGGTTGTGTGGAGAACTCAGAGCAACTTTTCAATATCTGAAGGATCTGCAGGGAAGCTGGAGAGGGACTCTGTGTTATGATCTGCAGTGACAGGACAAGGGCTAATGGACTCAAATTGAAGGAGGGGAAATTTAGATTAGATTTTGGGAAGTTTTTGCTGTGAGGGTGGTGAGACACTGTCCCAGGTTGCCCAGGGAGGCTGTGGCTGCCCCAACCCTGGCAGTGTTCACAGCCAGGTTGGCTGAGCCTTGAGCAACCTGCTCTGGTGGGAGGTGTCCCTGCCCAGGGCAGGGGTTGGGGCTGGATGATCTCTAAGCTCCATTCCACCCTCTAAAATTCTATGATTCTAGTCAAGGTCTGCTCTTGCCAGTATGCTTCAGGCAAACTTTGAAAGTTGACAAGTTAGAGGTGTATGGGAATAATTTAGGGCTGAGATAACCTGCCTGAAATAGAATGAAGTTCAGTAGCTCTGAGAGAAGCTGTCTTAGACCTCTCCACTGGTGTGCTGCTTGGTTGTTGTTTCAGAGATGAGAGCACAACATAATTTGACCAGTGTGATGAGTAAGAATTGCTGTTCATTTTAGTTTGAAATATAAACCATTCACTCCTTTGCTTCCTGGAAGAGTTGAGCTGTTGCTAGCAAATTATAGGCAATCCTTGAAGAATATATTTTTATATATTGTGTTTCTAATAGATCAAAATTTTTGCAGGTATATGTTGTGACTGGGGAAAAAGAAAGGAAAAAGAGAGTTTTTTGCTTGAGAGGTTTCTGACAGCTGCATTGAGGAATCTGGAGTGGACTTTGGGAGCTGTTATCTCCCTACATCCCTCTGGGCCTGCAGTCTGTTCGTGGTGTCTGGATTGGTCTTCATGAAGTTCATATGGTTGAAATTCTGGTACCCACTGGCATAGTGAATAATGTCTTTGTGTACTGGGACTGATTTTAGTTGCTGTAAGAAAGTCTTTCTACTACTTGCAGATTGGGTTGGAGAAAAAACCCAAACTGCCAGTGTGTAATTTTTGCTGACAAACACTTCAGTTTTAGTTAATAGTCCTGGACTTTCAGAAGAGGCAAAAGCGTTTTCTGAGAACCATCTAATCAAGCTTCACCTTTGTTCCATCTTAGAGACTTTTGTTCTCATGTTTTCTTTTGCTGGTTAACAGCACAGTGAGTTAGTAGTTGACTTCTGTGTAATCTTCTAATACACCTAAGCAAAGGAAATGAATCCCAAATGGTTCCAGTGGCTGTTACTGGTAGCTGTGGCACTACCTGTATTCCCACAGGTATTTGTCTCTTTCACACCACTTTATTGCCCTGGCACTCTTGGGACAAATGACCAAAACTTGTTCATAACATCTGCACCCAGAGTGAGATTCTCAAGTGCTGTCGCTTCACATCCACGGGGAGGAGTACACAGAGTTATCAGCTTTACAGTTTTATTCAACTTTCTCTGTGCTTACAGTCCCTGTTGTTATGTTGCATGGCACTATTGGCTTCTATCTGCTGACTTTAGGACATTTGGGAAAGGAAATTTTCCTGAGATCCATTATGTTCCTTCCTGAAATTGCCAACTGCCACACTTCTTTACAAAGAGTGGAGGCCCCAGGTAAAAGCAAACAGATGTTGTTGCCAGATGCTTCAGGTGTAAGTGGACTGTACTTTGTTGCAGCTCTGACTCACTTGCATCTCTTCTTTTCCCTCCCTTTCTCTACACTTGCTGCATGCTGCATGGCACTCAGAGCGAGGATGAAGAAACGGATTACGATATGAATGATTCAGATTAAGTGTAAATGTCATGGTGAGCACTAGCTGCCCTAGGATTGTAACCAGGTGCTTTTCTGCCCCATCCAGTTCCCACCCCCACTAGTCCTGTCCTTTGGCTAGTCCTGGTGGTGTGTGTGTGTTTGTGATTTTAGTCGTGGCATGGTTAGCAAAGGTAGAATTCCTGCTCTGGATATTGCTGCTTTGACAGAATAATTAGTGTTGCTGTTTCAAACTGTATTGTGAATTGTTCCCTTAAAGCTTTGCTGGGAAGCAAAGTTCTCCATGTAGATTCTAGGGGTAGAACTGCTTTGCATTTTTATTTTCCATGCACCAGCTTTTCTGTCATCTGGGTTTTTTACAGGTAGAGGCATCTGATACAAACTTGCAGGATTTTTTCAGTAAATGTTTGATTTGGCAATCAGTTAGCAAACTTGACTGAAATGCAATATAGTCCTAAGGTGATCTTACCTGATAATTTTGAAACTAGTAATTTTTTGAATCAGGATGTGGTGAATATAAGTAAATAGTGTGAGCTTAGTGCTACAGTTATATTTATCACAGGAAACAGCCTTTAAAGGGACTCTAAAGGTGACAAGTGGAAGAGCACACAAAAAGTGGCATCCATTTCCTAACAAGTCTGCAAGCACTGCTCATATTTATTCTGCTCTCCAGTTTCTAGGAGCTCACATATCATTGTATGTTCAGTGGTGTGGTGTAAGCAGTCACTTGAGCATGTATAAATTGGAGATACTTGCCATTGCATGAGATTGAACTTCAGCTTTTTGCCCATACCCCTGAACGTTTTGGCTGTAATCACACTTAGCTGTGCAGTCTGGACAATGCTCTCAGGTTCATGGTGTGATTCTTGAGGTTGTCCAGGGCAGGGCCAATGGTCCTTGTGGGTCCCTTTCAGCCTAGGATATGCTGTGATTCTGTGATTCTGTGAACTCACTTTACATGCCTGGAGAAGAACCTACATTGTTTTCTTAACTAATCCTAACAGAAACTACTGCCAAGGTAAAATAAGTTTTTTTCCCCAAGTCTTCAGGAATGGCTGAAAGGAACGGATCAAATCTGAAGCTTTATTGAAAAAAAAAGTAAACAGGCACTAAGCTGGAATTGAATGCAATATTCTTAAGCTTCCTGAGAGGCAAATACTCCTTAAAACACTGCTTTCTCAGCAGCAGCTTTGCTTGGAGTGGGAGGAAATATCTCTCATGTTCTGCTTTCCTAGCAAGCAATCACACTAGGGCCCCTGGAACATGAGAGTTCTTTCAGCATTGTGTAGCATTTCTAAGTCAACTTTGGGCCTGGTGCACCTTTAGGGAAAACAGAACAGAAATATGAACATAAGAAAAACTCTGTGCACAGCAGATATGTACTAGGGTTGGGACAGTCCCTGGGGCCAGTACAGACTGGGTCATGCATGGATTGACTGCAGAGGACTTGGGGATACTGGTGGGTGAAAACTGGGTGTGAGCCAGCAGTACTTGCAGACTAGAAAGCCAATTATCCAGGACTGCAGCAGATGAAGTCTGGCCAGCACGGTGAGGAAAGTGCTTCTCCCCTGTCTGCTCCACTCTCCTGCAGTCCCACCTGATTCCAGCTCTGGGATTCCCAGCACAGGAAGGACATGGACCTGTGAGAGTGGGTTCAGAGGAGGGACATGAAAATGGTGTGCAGGCTGGAACACCTCTCCTGTGGAGACAGGCTGAGAGAGCTGAGATTGCCTGGGCTGGAGAAGAGGAGGCCAGGGGAGATGTTATTGTAGCCTTCAGTGCTTAAAAGGGCCTTATGAGAAAGACAGAGAAAGACTTTTATCCAAGGACTCGTAGTGTCAGGACAAGGGTGATGCTTTCAGGCTGAGAGAGCTTAGCTTTGCACTGGGGATAATGATGAACATACTTTTTACTGTGAGGCACTGGCACAGGTTGCCCAGAGAAGCTGTGGCTGCTCCAGCCCTGGAGGTGTTCCAGGCCAGGTTGGATGGGGCTTGGAGCAGCCTGGAATGGTGGATGGGCCTCAAGGTCCCGCCCAGCCCAGCCCAGTCTGTGATTAGTAGAGGTAAGGGTTACAGGGGTACCAAGGAAGGTGTGTTAAAATACAGCCTGAGATGGTGGAGTGTTCTGCTTTTAGGTTTACTGGCTCAGGAAAGTGTGCAAAGTTCAGTGCCCAGATCTGGCTTAGTTTTAACTTATTTCATGTGTTCCTGAAGCTACAGAAAACAGTTCTAAGTCTATTAATCTTGTAAGTACTTTTTATCTTCTAGGAAAGAATAAACTCAAGTGCTTCATATTATATTGGAAAGTTTAACATAATTAATGGATGCAGTATTATTTTGTAGCTCACAGGTACTTGTTTCAGCCATGGCTTTGTCTCTGTTGGGTATGTGTTCACTTACTGACATTATTTGCAGAGTCAGACTGTCACCCACTGTTGTGGACATCTACTCTCAGCTAGCAAATACTTGAGGAAAGAGTTTCAGTATTAAGCATTTATGATATTAAATCCTGATATATTTCCCCACCTTGCAGTAAACCTCAGTTTAGTAATTTTGGCTTCAAGCCTTTATCCAGATCATTGTATGAAAGCCACTCTGGCACTGTGAGTTGGTGTCAGAGGCACTGTCTTCTCTCAGTTTCTCTAGTCTCTTTTGAAGGTAGTATATAAGCAGTTGCTGAATAGTTTTCAGAGCTTGGTTTTTCCTCACAGAATTCACTCGTTCCTTTCCTACAGTTTCATATGGAATGCTTTTTGCTGAGTACACACAGTAAATTATCCTCATGAAATAAACAATGTTTGCATCTAAAATACACCCTGAAGCATGTCAGGACCCGTGGAAAACATTTCTCTGTGCTTTGGAAATGTATCAAAGTGGTTGCAGTGACATCTGGTTTCATAACAGCCAAATCAGAGTCCTGGCCTGGGAATGAGCACAGAGCCAGGCACTGCAGGAGGCACAGTGAGGAAGTGATAAAGAGGATTTTTATTTTTTGTAACTAATACTGACCTCCCTCTGACCTGTCCCTGAGCCACACAAATGGTAGCAGGTTCTTCAGGAACTCTGGGTCTGAAAAATCCCATGGAGTTGTGCAAAGCAGGTGGGACCTTGCTTGACTGCAGCCACTATGAAAGACATATTAGGTGTTTTAACAATATCAAAAAGAAACCAGATGCCTAGAGTTTTAGAGCCAAACATGCAGCTGCTGTGCTGTATGCAGTGGTTGCCAGCCTTTACCCCACAGGTGCAGAGATCCACGTGTTTGTGAGTGCTGATAGATCCTCTGGGATCCAATGTGCTGCCTGAGGTTTGTCATAGCACATGGAGCTCATCACTGAAAAAAAATCCCTCTTGAAGGCAGCTCTGCCACTGTCCAGGGACTGTGCCTTTGCTTGCTGTCAGCTTTTGACATCAAGAGTCCTTCCCAGTACTAGGAAAGTAAAGTGACATATAAGACTTTTACTTACAGACAAACATTCTGAAGTGCTTGCACTCAGTATGTTTGAGGCTCTGCTCGATGCTTTGTTGGGTTCTGCAGCCTGCTGACACTGTCCTAGGGTCCTGCACAGCCCGAGACGTGACCTCAGTATTGCTGCTTGCCATTCAGTTTAGGGCAGCAACATGAAAACTGTGCTGCTTGAACAATCCTGAGACTTGGACCCTTTCCTCAGTGGAGGAGCCAAAGCAAATTGAAACGGAAAAGGAGAAAAGACAGTCAGACTGGAAATAGAATAGGTGATCTTCATGTTGTTGATTTAAATCTTGGCAGGTTGTATGTTTGGCCTTTGAAAACTTCACACCCAGTGTGCCATTTGTGCACGTTTTGGTTTGCTAGTTCATGTTCTCAGTGCTAATTTATGGAATACGATTTGCATCTGAAGCTTCAGAGAGATAAGGACATTTTACTGGAACAGGAAAAGTGAAGACTAAATTCAGTTTCTGTAAAGTACCCACGTTCATTCTCCACACAGGACCTAAGTATCTTCAGGACTAGGATGAGGTACAATGGCTTACTCTTTACATTTGCCAGCTCTTCAGCCTTGCATTAATAATACCAATTCCTAGCAGTGTTTTACATCTCTTTCAGTGGTGTTTGACAGCAGACATTGTATTTATCAGTCTGTCTTTTTTCAGCATTAAAGCACAGCCCCAGGAATGTCCTGAACCAGCTCCCCTGACACTTCCTTGCAGTAGGCATTATGCTGCTCTTTGACCTCCATGCTCTAGGAATGACATTGAGCTAACTGTCATTTATAGAACTGTTATTGTTCTCTTGCAGATTTTGCAAGAACGAGGTTCCAGGATGTGAAGACAGCGTTGAACGGTGACAGTTTTTTCTCTTTCGTTCGAAGATGCAGTGAATTGTCACTCTGAGGAGGCTTGGCTGCAAAAGAAAAAAATCTGATTTAGACAATTTTCTGTTGATCTGGGTTCAACCATTTTTGCCTACAAGCTGGTGTCAACTGGCTGGAAGCGTTGCAAGACTACGTAACGGGAACAGATGGTGTGGGAGTGTGTGTTGGGTTTTGGTTGTAGTGCATGGTTGTACTCTCTTGTGGGCTGATTGACACTGGTCGTTGGGAAAGGAATGACCATGCACTCCCATTTTCCTTGGAGACATGTAGCACTTAATGCCTGGTGCTGGATGACCCAATGTTGATCAGTTTGGAGACATTTTCCCACTAATCATTGTAAACCTTAAAAGGACAATGTTAATTGGTGCTACACACACAGACACACACAGACACAGACACACACAGACACACACGTTACCCCCAGGTGCAAGTATTTGGGCCTACATTGTTTCAGAATCAGTGGCAGCCCCAGCTGACTGTGTCATACTGCACATTCCTTTTGGCTCTGTGACATACTCTATTCTGTAATAACAGCCTAGGAGATCAACTGAAACTAGCACGTGAAAAAGTGACACAGCAGAGAAAAGGTTTCTCTGAAGGAAAGGTGTATATATTGACTGGATTTATAGCATATCTTAATACCCAAAGGGAAGACTAAACTCAGAGAAAATGGCCTTCATCTGAGTTACTCTTGATGTTCCTTCTGTTCAAAGAGTCTCCTGCAAAAGTTATGCTCCAGTCTCAGCCAGATGCTTGGAAGGGTAATCAAAATTCACTTAAAATGACCAACTGCACATTCTGTTTCTTTTGAGATGTTTGTACTCATATGTGTGTTTGTGCTTTTATAAAATGCCTATAAGCATTGAACTATGTGGATTATGGTAGAGAATTTTCTAGAGCTGGAGGTTTTACAGAAATATGGCTGGCTGGTCCTGGGTCCCTGTCTCTGTGGCTGGGATTAAAATCAACCTTAGTGTGAACACAAACTCATCCAACTGAAAAACACTTCGGACATTCGGGATACCTGGAATCAACCTTTCTCTTTCTATACAGTTTCAACTATGCAGTTACAGAACAGTGTTTGAAAAAATCTGGCACAGCTTTGTTAGTTCATCCACGACAAGGCTGACCCACAGACTGGAGCTTTCAATACACTATGTTTTGAGCAAAACCTTTAGCACGTCTTTAAAACACTTTATGAAATGGGCAGGATACAATTTGGCGGCGTTGACTTACGCAAGCAGTGGGAGGGAGGCCCAAAAAGCTACGAGAGTGTTTGGAATCCTAAAGACATTACAGTTTTCAGTCCTTTCAGAACTGATGCACACACTGCAGGCAATGCTGAGATGAGGGCCTGATTTTCAAACACCCAGGGCCTACTCTTTTTTTTTTTCCTTGGTTTTTTTTTTTTTAAAAAAAAAGAACTTACACGTTGATAAAAGTTTGGCAGAAAAATTTGTAAAAAAAAAAAACATTTCTACTAAGCAGGTTAAGCAATGGGCTAAATGTTTTTTGTCCATGTGCCTAATTCTTGAAAGGGTTTGTACTGTGTTTTGTGACTTGGACGTGGTTTGCACGGGAGCTGCTGGCCCCGCTGCAACACGGGGAGTCTTGGTCTTTTTTTAAGAAGTTAAAACTGAATTTAATTTACTAAAAATGTAATTGTGTAGGGGGAAACGTTTCTACTTTTATACTTTTTTAGGCACCCATATTTTATCAGCTTCAATTGAGTACCCAAATTTCCCCTAAATAGTAACAGATTATCTTGTGTATCTGAAAATAAGCCTAAGAGTTGTCTGTGTTAACTGCATATTAAAACATTGCTGCTGCTGCAGTAGTCACTGTGTTTTTAAGCAGTATGACTCCACCAGATTCCCTGAGCTCCCCAGCTCACGGAATTGCAGCCGACCACGTTTCTTCTTGTTTTCTTGATGTGCTCTACAGAGTAATTCAGCATTGGTCTAAGTGGATTTTAATGCCTAAAATACCTGGTTTGGAGTGATCCTTCTGAATCAGCATTTCTGTTGTCTCTTAACCTGAAAAGGACAGACGACTTCATTTAATAAAGTGGAACTTTCCAGAATGCAGTGAGTAACAAACAGAGCAAACTGAACAAATGGAGAAGGTAAAAGAGTGGGGGTTTCTGTGTTGTTTTTACTGGAGAGTTTTCATTTTTAAACCACCTTTCTATGGTGTGATTACCTGCAGTCAGTTTACATTGTGCCCCTGTTGTAGCAAATTTTGGGGAAATGAGTGTTGAATCATTTTGCACTTTGTTTCCAATACCTCACCAAGATTTTGAGAAGGAAAGAACTTCATTAGCAGATACCTTGTAAGAGGTTTTAACTATGCTGTTCGAGGCCACCTGAACTAACCACTTTCCCCTTGTTGCTGATGTCATTGTTGCTTTGATTTTTGTGTACACATGATGCTTTCAGATAGGTGGAAGTGATATCATCAGCCTTTCCCAAGGCATCGAGCATCGAGCCCTAAAGAAGTTTGGTTTCTTTTTTCCTTGACTCTTGCAGTTTCAAAGCAAGTTAGTCACAGTGACAAGGTAATTGTGTTAGAGTCCAATCCACACCACCAGGTTCTGCAAACATTGCTTTGTCTGTTGAGGTCTTGCAGGATGAAGTAATGTACCAATAGAGTTTAAACTGGAGTCCTTTGTCTCTTTCACTTTTGCCATTTGGAGAGTACCTAGCTGAGAACTGGCTGTGCCTCTGCAGAGCTGAGGGTTCCTGAGCAGAGTGGAGCTGCAGAGCTTACACAGCTCCTCTGTATTCCAGGTCAGAACTTGTGCATGAAGAAAGAGATCAGAGCAGAAGGAAATAAAGCAGGAAGGGAGAGATTCTAAAATGTAACAGTTATTAAATTTTTTCATGGCTTTTACATAGCTTGTTAAGGGGTTGGAATGGAGCTGAGAGATCATCCAGCCCCAACCCCTGCCCTGGGCAGGGACACCTCCCACCAGAGCAGGTTGCTCAAGGCTTTAGCCAGCCTGGCTGTGAACACTGCCAGGGTTGGGGCAGCCACAGCCTCCCTGGGCAACCTGGGCCAGTGTCTCCTGTGACAAACGTGTCTCATGACAAACCTCTTGCAAAACTTGTTTAACTTGTCTTTGGTTCACATTTGCCATAGCAATTTCTTGTTTTGAGTTGGGAAACCCAAAACAAGTCACTAGTGGTGTTCCCCAGG